ACTCTTCCCTCTCACCACCGAGGCCTGGTGGCAAAGCCGCTCTGAGCCTCAGTTCACCCATGTGTCACATAAGGACTTATGTCACCTAGAGCGGAACTTTTATTCTTTTTTACTTTTTCCATCCGGTGTCTTGATTTTTTTGTACTAAAACTTTTTCAGAGACGTCCTCAGTTAGCCTGTTTTTAAATCAATGCAAAAGTATTTCTCCATTCCTATTAAAACTTCCCCTACTAGGACTTTAGGATCACAACACTGTTTTATATTAGTTAATGCTATAGGAGTTTTGTTCATTTTTAAGTGAAAACAAAAAAAAAGGAGGGGGAGCACTTATCTGCAATACAGCCAGGGGACATCACTGTAGAGTTCAGTGATGTGCTTATACTATGAACTCAGACTGTCAGCTATCCTATTCTCCATCCAAAACAAATGGCAAGTTAAGAAGATGGAGGGTTAGGGTCTACAAGAAACTTGAGCTTGTGGGAAGGGTAGGTTTGGGGAGGGCTTCAACCCTCGCGGTATACTGTGAGAAATGATTATAAACACTATATAAAAGAAGATGGCATAAACTGTTATCTTTAAACAAAACTAGACTCCTCAAAGTAGGTTTTCCTTCATAGACATAGCTGTGTTCTCTGTGTCTGTGTGTGTGTGTAGTGAACAGAAAACTAGTTTGAAGGTGATTACAGACCCAAAATGCCTAACTGTAGCTATGTGACTGAAAATGGTGAAGTTTCTGGTTTCTGTCCTAGGAGACAGGGCTTTCCCTCAGTTTATGGAGGGGCATTCCATACTATAAGAATGGGGACCTATAAAATAGGAATAGCCCATGGAGAAGCAACCTACTGGTCTCAGAAAGAATTGGGTGTATACTGAGCCCAAAGATGAACAAACTCCTGCAACTGAGGTTCTTGGAGTAGCCAGCCCTGTGTCTGATTGTTTGACATCTAAGTTTCCACTCTACTTTCTTCATGGCAGACGGGGGTCCCTCCAACTTTCTCAAAATAGACAAACAAATCAGTATATGTAACCAAAACTATAAAATAAAGCATCCATGCTTCTTGGAATGTTCTCTAGGCTTTGTCTCAGCCTGTGCCTGTTAAAGTGTCCTTTGTCCTTGTGTCTTCTGTTCCCCTTTGGCCCTACATTCATTACATAACTAAAAGATAGTTTGCCTCTTGGACTCCCAGCTGTTCATAGGTTAGACTCTGTGTCCTTACTCCTTGGTGTAGTGGGTCATTTTAGTAAGTCAGTTTGAGCCACCATGCACCAAGATTACTTGTTAAATGCTATTTCTAGATATGTCTGTGAGTATGTTTCCAGATGAGTTTAGCATTTAAATTGGTAAACTGAGAAAAGCATATGGCCTTCCTCAATGTGAGTTGGCCTCATCTAATGCCTCCAGGGCTTGGGTAGACCAAAGTGGTCCAGGAACACGGAGTGGTTGGATTCTCCGTTGACTGCCAGGCCTTCACCCTACAGCAGCAGGAGCTTTCCTACATTTCCAGCTGCATATGGAAAACTGTGGGACTTGGTCCAGCTCGATGGCTCAGCAGATAAAGGTGTTTGCCTCCAAGGCTGATGACTAAGTTCAGAATCTACATGGTACAATAGAACCGAGCCTGCCAAGCCATCCTCTGACCTCCACACAAACACTAAATGAATAAATGAAAAAATACTTTTTCAAGAAAATGGTAGGACTTCTTGAACTTCATAATCATTTGAGCCAACAATGAGCATGCACATATACACATATATATTCTTTGGCTTATGATAAAGTTTGAACCCAATAAACCAGGGTTGTAAGTTAAACCATCATCAGTTGGGAATATTGTGATCCTGCTTTCCTGTGAATGCTGACTAACACACTGGGTTTTCTTTAGCAGTTCACCTAGGCCCTGATATGGCATGGCTTGGCTAATAGGAAAATAATATCTGGCAGTGTCATCCACAGCTTCAGCCTACTCCATATGCCCATGACTCCTGAAGGGCCTGAAGTGCTACTTCACAACAGAAAGGAATTCCACAAGCAAAGACCTCAGGCAAAGTGGAACACTTTCCTCCCCAGGATTGTCCTTGAAATGGGGTAGATTTTTGTTATATTACTTATCTCACACTGTCTTCCTCAACCAGTTTACAAACAAGTCATGGCCTAGGGTCCAATGTAGTTCACAGAAATGCTGTGTTACTCTCAGGTGGTATTTTAAATCTATTTTAAATTGGTGACAGCATTCAAAAGAATGAAGATATTTAATGTGAAAATATCTAGGTTTCTTGGCTTTCTCAAAAAAATGAATTGGAATCTCTGTACTCAGTCTGCATTCCAACATGACAATATTTTCTTTATTTGAAGCATTAGCTATGCTATTTGTCAGTCGCCAAGGAGCCTGTGCCATTTTTATGACAAGCCTGGCTCCTAAAGTCATTGAATGAGTCCTCTGGACGTAAAGTACAGCCTCCTCTTGCAGGGACAGGGTCCTGACCCATTTCAGTTGTGAGGATTTTGTCTTAGCTATTAATTCCGAACAGGTGACACAAGCTGAGCCATCCCACAGAAGTCCTCCACAAGTACCTAGATGAGGTCAATTAGCACCCCTTCCTAAGAGTATACTGAAAAATGAATTAAGCGAAGAAAGCCCTTGACCTCAGCCCCAAAGCTGCAGTGACCGATGAGAAGATGCCTTTCTGCAGAAAAGATACAAGATGGACTGGAGAGGCAAGGGAACTGGGGAGATGATGGGGAATGTACTGTGTATGTTTACCTTATTGATTGTTTAATAAAGTTCTGTTTGGCCAATGAAACAGCAAGTTAGATAGGACTAGGAGTCAAAGAGGATTCTGGGAATTGTAGTAGAGAAGTGGTGGTCCAGGCCAGAAGAGACATAGCAAGGAGAACCATCTTTCAGCAAGGAAAAAAAGAAAGTGTCCCTTTTTCCCCTTCCTCCTCCAGTGGCGGGATGTGAGCCACCAGCAAGGAGGGATGCCAATAAGGCGTCAGGTAAGATAAGTCTTATAAAATATATAGGTTTATGATAGTTAAGACTGAGCTAACAGATGAGAATCCTAGTCATTGGCCAAGCAGCATTGAACCTAATACAAGTTTCTGTGTATTCATTTGGGCCCTAACTCGGGCTGGCGGCTGGTGTAAAGCACACATGTGCCGGTGGGTAGAAAGCTTTTGGCAGAAAGATTTATCATAACAGGGAGATGGCTCAGTGTGGAAAATGCTTGCCACACAAGCAAGAGGATGTTAGTTCAGTCAGGTCCCAGCACTCACATAAAAAGTCAGGGTGGTAGTGTGCACCTACCTCAGTGCCAGGGACGCAAAGACAGAAGGATCCCTGGAGATGGCTGGCCAGACCGCCCAACAGAATCAGTGAGAGACCCTGTCTCTTTAAAAGAAGGTGAAGAACAATTGTAGAAGACACCTGACATTGACCTCTGACCTCCACATCTATACGCACACGCACATGTACACATGTGTGTAGAAGCAGAGATGAAAGACTAAGAGTGGGGGGTTGTAACAAAAGCTGACTCCCTGCATTCTGGGACTCCTGAGGTCACAGTAATGCCATCTTGGGCTTAAAAGCCATCTTAGAGAAAAGACAAACTATGTCCACTCCTGCTTACGATTAAATCTGCTTCTCAAGGATCGGGCTATGCCCAAACCTGTAACCTTAACTGTACATGGTTCTCTAGTGCCGGTTCGAGGAAACCACAACCATGCCTTCATTTCAAACAGTTGTGATGACCATCTTGCAACCTCACCTTTGTTTCAAAAGGCTTTTTGTGACTGCCTTGTTCTGACCACATTGTTATGGGCTGCTCCTGTAAGCCTTCGAATTTTGCCCATCAAATCCCCCATTT